CTCCGCCTGTCGAAAAAAAAAATTGACATTTGGCCATGGAAATGCTCAAATACAGAAATTCTCTTAAATAAATTTTTCAAATTACAATGTTCTCCTTTCAGTGAGAAATATGAGTGACACAAAATCAACATCTTCAGCCACAGGAGGAGGAAATGCACAAGAACTTTTTCAAGAGGAAATTGAGCCTGTGGAAGTGAGTGCTTAAATATCTAATGTTTTCTGTTAAATTTATCTTTGAGAAAGTGTTAGTGAGTAGTAGAGATACACTGATAAAGGCCTTCCATGTTGATAATGGTTGTCAGTTGGTCTCATAAAGGAAACGTTCATTCAGGAGAATTATATCTGCTGTATCCCAGATGGATGCTCTTAGGTTCCTGAAAGATGTAGTCCATGATTTCACTCTCAGGCTTCCTCAGAAAAGATAGCACACATGCATCCCAGCATGGAAAAAAAAACTTCTATAGGCATTGGAGGTAACTTTTCTGGGAGATACCTCTCTGAGGGAAGAGTAATTTTTTTAAAAAAAGATTTATTTATTTGAATGGCACAGTTACTGTGGAGATGGTGGGGGTAGGAGAGATCGAGAGCATTTGGACTTACTGATTCACTCCTAAAATGACTGCAAATAGCCAGGGGTGGCTGGGCCAGGCCAAATCTAGGATCCTGGAACTCTATGGGTCTCCAGTGTGGGTAGGATTTGGGCAATCTTCTGCTTTCTAAGGCTCAGGGAGCTGGATCAGAACAGGGAGTGGATCACAAGTGTAGCATCCAGGACTTGAACCAGCGCTCATATGAAATTCTGGCATACAGTCATTGGCTTAATCTGCTGTGCCACAAAACCTGTACCAGGGAAGAGTAATTTTTTGAAGAATTAGTATATAGGACCTTGCTGAAAAATGTAATTAATGATCTAGTTTATACCTATATATTAAGTGTAGTTATTATAAAACAAAACTTTTTCTTTACAAAAACTCATTTCAATAGATACATCAGTCTGGTGGTGGGCCTCAACCAGAAGAGCCAGCAGTTCAAGGTCAGAATATTCCACCTGGTCAGGAGGTGGAGGAAGAAGGAGCACCCGAGGCTGAAGGTAAAGGGAAGGGGAAGTAAAATGCCTTTGGCAGTGAAGGGTATGAGTACATTACATATTATTACACAGGAGGAAGAAACACATTAGAGAAGTATTTTTTTTAAAAAGATTTATTTGTTTATTTGAAAGTCAGAGTTACAGAGAGAGGGAGAGATCTTCCATCCACTGGTTCACTCCCCAGATGGCTACAATGCCCTGGGCTGGGTCAGACTGAAGCCAGGAGCCAAGAAATTTAGAGAAGTATCTTATACATTTACTGAATATTGGTTGGAAAAGTGAAGAATATAGCTTTTAGCTTTGTGCTTTCCATCTTTATAAGGAATTTTCTCTTGTTCTTTTAAAGGTATTTCTGTATCTTATTTATTTCACTTAGCATCATGTCTTTCATGATCATCCCTGTTGACACAAAGGACAAGATTTCCTTCCTGAAGGGTACTATTAGATTTTACACCACACACACACACACACACACTGCACTTAGTTTTTCCATTCATCTGTTTAGGGATATTTCATTCTCTGTGGTCCAGTGTAACTGAAGACAGTAGAAATTTTTGTTTTGTATTTAACTTGTAAAATTCTCATGTTAATGTGCTATTGATACAAAGAGAACAGATTCAATGTGGTTCATAGATATAATTCTAAGAATATACTTGCCTCCCTCCTTTTTTCCTCTTTTTAAAAAAGATTTATTTTATTTATTTGAAAGATAGAGTTACAGAGAGAGGGCGAGACAGAGAGAAAGATATTCCATCTGCTGGTTCACTCCCCAAATGACCGCAATGACCACAGCTGAGCTGATCTGAAGCAAGGAGCCAGGAGCTTCCTCCAGGTCTCCCACGTGGGTGAAGTCCTTGGGCCATAGTCCACTGCTTTCCCAGGCCATAGCAGAGAGCCAGATCAGAAGTGGAGCAGCCAGGACTTGAACCAGCACCCCTATGGGATGCTGGCACTACAGGCTGGGGCTTTAACCCGCTGAGCCACAGAGCCGGCCCTTCCTCTTCCTTTCTTTTCCTTCCTCCTTCCCTCCCTCTCTCCTTCCCTCCTTTCCTCCTTCCCTCCTTCCCTCATTCCTTCATTCCTTCGTTCCTTTCCACATATTTTAATTGACATTCTAGTCCAAAGGCTTAATGCTGGGGCTGGCACTGTGGCTTAGCGATTGAAGCCTCAGTCTGCAGAGCTGGCATTCCTTATGAGTGCCAGTTTGAGCTCTGACTGCTGCACTTCCAGTCCAGCTCCTTGCTAATTCACCTGGGAAAGCAGCAGAGGATGGCCCAAGTGCTTGTGCCTCTGCACCCATGTGGGAAACCCAGAGGAAGCTCCTGGCTCCTGGCTTCAGCCTGGCTCAGTCCTGGCTGTTGCAGCCATTTGTGGAGTGAACCAGCAAGATGGAAGATTCATTATCATTTCTCTCTCTCTCTCTCTCTCTCTCTCTCTCTCGCACCCTCTCCCACCCCCTCCCTACTTCTCTATAACTCTGTCTTTAAAAACAAATAAATCAATCTTTTTAACAAAAAGGCTTTATGATCCATTAAATAAAGGGTTCAGTAAGTAAAAAGTGTCCGTAGCTAGAGCGAGGTGGTTCTGGATCCAGTCCCTTGGCTGTAAGCACTAAAAGTTCGTGGTGCTGTATATGTGGACAGACTAGTTCAATTGAGAATTTGGACACCTGGATTAATCAGTAGACTTGGGTGAGTGGGGAAGGGAAGCACACATGTGTCCATTCAGATTCACACCGATCTCTTGTTTATCTGACCCATTGCCTTCCAGATGTACACTAGCTAGAAGGCCAATCTCTGGGCAGCATCTGGGAAAGCTTGTGGATAAATCCCTTCCAGGGAGAAACAGAAAGCTGGGCACTGTGCCTGCTTGCTATGCACTGAGTTCTGAGGGACATACTACCATTCCTGTTTGAAATTCCCAGGGATCTCAGGGATCAACAAGGTCTTTCACTCTCAGAGCTATGTAATGTAGGTGACTAACATTTCCTGTGAGAACAGAACAAGTAGGGGGAACTGGATCCAACCTGTCACTCCTTAGGGAAAAGCTGAGATCGGGGGGATTCCCCCATCATTGTAAGGTGCTGTGCTCTGGGTGGGGTGTGGGGTGACACTGTGTCACAAGTTACTTTATCAAGATAAGTCGGACATTTTTTTCTGTTTTCTGTTGGAGTTTGTCCACCATTTTCTGGTTTTCTCTGAGATGGAATTGATCTGGATATGGATGGTGTTTTTGTTGCTGCAACCCCAGGAGAAAGGAAAGTAGGAAGCCTTCTATTCCACTATCTTACTCATGTCACTTGGTAACCTTTTTATCTCTAAGGGCCCCATGTGGCATCTGATGTCCAGGAACATTTTCAGCCTGACCCTGGTGATATATATGAAAATGGTCCTGAAATCAATGGGACAGAACCTCCTAACTAGAGCACTACAATGCCAAAAGCAGGTATGTATAGCTCATTAAAGGCCAACATTATGTGACTTTGTTTTTCATGATATTAAACCATTTATAATACCATAGATATAACATTAATGCTACTTTAATAACAGCATTCACATAAAAAGACCCTGGATGACAAGTCAGACTTCAGAAGCCTGACTGGCAACATGACACATTTTCCAATAAGTGAGACAAAATGAGTCAAAGCCATATCGAATTAAAATATATGAAAACAATTTCTTACTTGTCAACATTAATCTTCTAACCAACAGCTAATGCTTTTTACACTGTTAGAATTTAAGTTTTCATGAAATACGTATAGCATTTGTATTGTCATTTGCATGAAGGACTGAGGCATCACAGAAGATTTTATTTATTTTTAATTTCCTAAAAAGATATTTATTTGAAAGTCAGTTACACAAAGATAAAAGGAGGGAGGGAGGTAGGGAGGGTGGGAGGGTGAGGGAGAGAGAGAGATCTTCCACTTACTGGTTCACTCCTCAAATGGCTACAACAACCAGGGATGGGCCAGACTGAAGCCAGGAGCCAGGAGCTTCTTCTTGGTCTCCCATGTGGGTGCAGGGGCCCAAGGACTTGGGCCACTTTTAGCTGCTTTCCCCTGCACATTAGCAGGGAGCTGGATTTGAAGTGGAGCAGCTGGGACTCAAAGCAGCACACATATGGGATGCTGGTGCTGCAGGATACTTGCTACGCCACAACATTGGCCCCCTGAATTAGATTTTAGCTCCAGCTCTAATATAATTTGTGTTTCTCTCAGAATCCTTTGGATTATTTTTATTTTTTAAACAATATATTTTCAGTTTACATTATAGTCATAGGTGTAATGTTCCACTAAATAAAGAGTTCAACAAATAGAAAGTAAAAATACTTAGTTCAGCAGGAATATAGGAAGTCTATGTTCAAGGTCCCTGTAGAGACCAAACTGAATGTAAGCCAAGGGGTGACTTTGAGGATTCTAGTTCTAGTCTGTATTAACACCCCAAAACCTTGGTCTGCCTTTGATGTCCTCTCAGTGAGTTCCACATCATATGGTTGTCCACTCTATGTTTGTATTACAGGTGAAGGACATGCAGACGTTCAAATGGAGACAACCAGAACCCTGCCAGCTGTTCTTGTATCAGTTGTTTGACTTCCAGTTCCCTCAATAAACTTTATAGTTCCCTGTGGAGAAAGCTTGGGTGTCTTCTCACTTTTTTCCTAGGCTTCTGATATTGTTGAAAATTGCATCACTTCTGAAATGTTGTATTCTGACTAATTGCATATATAGAGATGATGTTTGTATATTCCTTTTTTATCCATCAACCATGAAAAATTTATTCCAAATGTATTTCTACACCTTTTTTGATTTCAACATACAGAATCACGTCTTTGAATCATAACAATTTGTCTTTGCCATTCTACACATTATATGCTTCCTGGTTCCGTTTTTACAACATTAGGCAGCCTCAACCTGTACAGTGGTGAATAGAGCCAGAGAAGTTGGTCATTCTTGTCTTAATCTGACAGGAAATGGAATTTGATTTAGCACTTCGCTGTGTTTGTTTACAGATTTACCTTACCTGAAGCAGCACATCCCATTCTTTTTTAATTCACTATTTTTGTTCCTTTCATATGTGAAATTTTTTGAATTTTTATTTTTTAAGATTTATTTATTTGTTTGAAAGAGTTAGAGAGAGAGAGAGAGGGCCTCCATCCACTGGTTCAGTCCCCAAAGGGCCCCAACAGATGAGGATGGGCCAGCCTGAAGCCAGGAGCCAAGAGCTTCTTCCAGTCTCCCACATGGGTGCAAGGGCTCAAGGACTTCGGGCATCTTCCACTGCTTTTCCAGGCACGTTAGCAGGGGCTGGATTGGAAGTGGAGCAGTCAGTACTCCAACTAGCACCCATATGGGATGCTGCATATGGTTTATGCTGCTGGCCCCACACATGAGAAATTTAAAGGCAGATTTTTGGGGCTGAATAATTGCACCCGAGGGCATCAAGACGTTAAAAAGGAACTTTCTTTCATGTGTCCAAGTAAGTGGGCTTTTTTCAGCCTCTCCTTGGATTCTCTCACTTAAGGTTGAAGCCCAGGTGGACAGGCCCCCTTCCCTGGTCCCGCGTGTGCCTTGCTGTGTGAACATGGGCTTCTCAGGATGTGCGCAGCATCCCCAAGCTTCATTTCCACTGCCTCAGGGTGTGGCGCAGGATCCCCCACAGAGTAGTGTTTGCCTGGCTGCAAATGCGTACTCCAGGTAGCCCCGCGTGTTCCTTGGAGTCATCACTTGATGTTCCCTGGACTTCTGGCATGCAGGCCAGAGGCCTGGCTCTGGTTTCGTGCATATCTCTTCCCTTCACCCAAGGGCTCTGTGCCGGTGACACCGGTGGTGGCAGGGCAAAAATCAGTGACTTATTTTTTAAACATTTATTTGCTTATTTGAAAGGCAGAGTTACACAGAGAGAGGAGAGTCAGAGAGGGGGAAGAGAGAGAGAGAGAGAGAGAGAGAGAGAGAGAGAGTCTTCCATGCACTGGTTCACTCCTCAGTTGGCCTCAAAGGCTGGAACTGCACCAATCTGAGGCCAGAAGCCAGGTGCTTCCTTCCGGTCTCCCATGCGGGTGAAGGGGCCCAAGGACTTGGCCATCTTTTACTACCTTCCCAGGCCAGAGCAGAGTGCTGGATTGGAAGTGGAGTAGCTGGAATTTTAACCGGCACCCGTATGGGATGCCAACACTGCAGGCAGCGGCTTTACCCGCTATGCCACAGCACCAGCCCCCAGTGGCACTTTTATACACGACTTTTGACAATATTTTGTTTCTGGGCTGGCATTGTAGTGTAATAGGTTAAGTCTCTGTCTGCGACACCAGTATCCCATATGGGTACTGGTTCAAGACCTGGCTGCTTCACTTCCAATTCTGCTTCTTGCTAATGCACCTGGGAAAGCAGTGGAAAATGATTCAAATGCATGATCCCATGCACCTATGTGGGAGACCCAGAAGAAGCTCCGAGCTCTTGGTTTTGGCTTGGCCCAGCCCTGGCCATTTGGAGAGTGAATCAGCAGGTGGAAGACTTTCTTCTTCTTCTTCTTCTTCTTCTTCTTCTTCTTCTTCTTCTTCTTCTTCTTCTTCTTCTCCTTCTTCTCCTTCTTCTCCTTCTTCTCCTTCTTCTCCTTCTTCTCCTTCTTCTCCTTCTTCTCCTCCTTCTCCTCCTTCTCCTCCTTCTCCTCCTTCTCCTCCTTCTCCTTCTCCTTCTTCTCCTCCTTCTCCTTCCTCCTCTTCTCCTCCTCCTCCTCCCTCCTTCTTCCTCCCTCTCTCTCTTCCTATCTTGGTTACTCTGCCTTTAAAGTAAAGTAAAAAAGAAATCTTTAAAAAGAAGAAAGTAAATATTGGGTTTCAAGAATGTATTCGCTTTCAGTTATATAATATCTATTCAATATCTGTTAGGGCCTTTCATACTGCTTGTTTGACTATTTTTTTGGATAGGCAGAGTGGACAGTGAGAGAGAGAGAGACAGAGAGAAAGGTCTTCCTTTTTCCGTTGGTTCACCCCCTAATGGCTGCTGAGGCCGGCGCGCTGTGGCTGGCGCACTGCGCTGATCCGAAGCCAGGAGCCAGGTACTTTTCCTGGTCTCCCATGAGGGTGCAGGGCCCAAGCACTTGGGCCATCCTCCACTGCCTTCCCGGGGCACAGCAGAGAGCTGGACTGGAAGAGGAGCAACCAGGACAGAATCCGGCGCCCCGACCAGGACTAGAACCTGGTGTGCTGGCACCGCAGGTGGAGGATTAGCCTATTGAGCCGTGGTGCCAGCCTTGTTTGACTTTTTCAATTTCCTTCTAAATAATGTAAAGTATTAGACATCATATTTATTTTAAAAAGGATCAACATTTTCAATTTATTAGTTTAGTTATTTTTTCTTATACTAATTAGTCCTACCTTTTATTAAGTATCTCTTTCCATTTCTCAGGTATATTTTTTCTTTATTCTTCTCTTGTTGTTGTTATTGTTGTTTATAAATATTCTCATGTTCTAATATTTATTTAATATCTGTCTTATATGTATTTATAGGACATGATCTTCCTAGGCATCCATTTTAGTCATGTACAATAGGCTTCCAGAAGTCATCTTAAAAATGCCCTTAGATGTAAATATTCACATAAAATTATACAGCAGTGTAGAGTAAAAGTGTTTATAAGACTAATGCAAGGTAACTTCATCTCCAAACATCAAGCACTTCTTTGTATTTATTTCTTATGGCTTTATTTATTCAGTTTTATTTTTTAATGGAGAGAGGGAGAGGGAGAAGAAGAGGGAAAGAGTTCGTGCCCTCATCTGCTTTATCACTCCCTAAATGCCTGCAAGGGCGGGTAAGGCTGAAGCTGATATTTAGGAACCCAATCCAGGTTTTCCATTGGGATGGCAAAAAAACACAACTATTTGAGTCACCAAATTCTGCTTCACAGAGTGTACATTTACAAGAAGCTGGAATGGGGAGCAGAATTGGGACTCAAACTGAGATACTCTGAGATGAGATGCAGGTGTCTTAACTAGCATATTTTTAAAAAAGATTCATCTATTTTAAAGGTGAAGTTACAGAGAGGAAGAGGCAGAGAGAGAGAAGTCTTCCATCATCTGGTTCACTCCCTAAATGGCTGTAATGGCTACAGCTGACCCAGACTGAAGCCAGGAGCCAGGAGCTTCCTCCAGGTCTTCCACATGTGTGCAGGGACACAAGCACTTGAACCTTCTTCTACTGCTTTCTCAGGCACATTAACAGGGAGCTTTAGCCACCATCTTTTTAATAAAGATTTATTTATTTTTTATGCAAAAGGCATAGTGACAGTGAGGGACGGAGTGGGGAGAGGGAGAAAGAGAGAGAGAGAGAATCTTCAGTCTGCTGGTTCACTCTCCAAAACACCTTCAACAGTCAGAGATGGACCAGCCAAAGCCTTGAGACAGGGTCTCCATCCAAGTCTCCCACGTGGGGGCCAGGGACCCAAGTACTGGGATCATAATCATCTTCAGATTTCCCAGGTGCATTAACAAGAAATTGAATCAGAAATGGAGCAGCCAGGGCTAGAATAGGTGCCCCAAGAGATGGGCAGGGCTCCCAAGTGATGGCTTAACCCACTGGACCACAATGCAGGCATCTATACGAGAATCTTAACTGCTGTGCCTAATGCCAACCCCACTTTAAATTCAGTGTCTGTTGTAATTAAAGGCCAGTGCTTTGGAAAATGCATGTGTAATCACATTTAAAATGACCACTCAGGATACATTGTGTTATGATCTTTGAACTTCAAATCCAATCAACTGTTGTCACAAGGCAGAACCGTGTAATATATCACATCAGATATGATTAGATTATTCTCTCATATAATGTATAGAGCAGGGGTGGGAAACATCCTGCCTCTGGGCCATATAACTTCTGTAAAATTATTAGATTATTTGGTCTGGCCCTGCCAAGGCAACCTCATGTAGGACTCGAAATTCAACAAATCTATAGCAGGCTATTTTTTAAGTTGGTAATGACGATGAATGAAATTGTAAATATCCTAAAGGTGCTTGGAAGAAAAAAGGTTCCCCACCCCCAACTAGAATGTTAGAAATAACACCAAAGGTTGACAGTGAGACAGAGTAGTATTATGTTTAGCATAGGCATCTTAATTTCCCTCACTTTCAATTTCCATGACCTTCAAGCACTCTCCCTGCTTGATTAGTTACAAAATAAAAAGCTATATGGCTTTGCCATTTTATTATTCAGTTATTCTAGTCTTCACTGGCGCACGGATTTGAAATGGAACCTTTTTTTGGTGAGATAATTGAGAATTTGACAGAATAAGAACAGGCATTCATGTATCCATACATCAAAACAAAGTAGAGCTGGCACCGCCGCTCAATAGGCTAATCCTCCGCCTATGGCGACGGCACACCAGATTCTAGTCTCGGTCGGGGCTCTAGGTTCTATCCCTGTTGCTCCTCTTCCAGCCCAGCTCTCTGCTGTGGCCCGGGAGTGCAGTTGAGGATGGCCCAAGTTCTTGGGCCCTGCGCCCGCAAGGGAGACCAGGAGGAAGCACCTGGCTCCTGGCTTCGGATCAGCGCAGTGCACCAGCCGCAGCGCACCAGCCTCAGCGGCCATTAGGGGGTAAACCAAAGGAAAAAGGAAGACCTTTCTCTCTGTCTCTCTCTCTCTCACTGTCCACTCTGCCTGTCAGAAA